AGATTGTTTGTTTGAGAGGTAGAGTTACAGAGAGAAAGGTCTTCCATCCACTGGTTCACTCCCCAAATGGCTGCAATGGATAGAGCTGGGCTGATCCAAAGCAAGGAGTTTCTTCCAGGTCCCCCATGTAGGTGCAGGGGCCCAAAGACTTGAACCATCTTCCACTGCTTTCCCAGGCCATAGTACAGAGCTGGATTGGAAGAGGAGCAGCCGGGACTCAAACTAGTGCCCATATACAACAGGTGTGCCACAGGCGAGGCCTAGCCCACCACATCACAGAGCCAGCCTGCAACACTTCACTTTCTAAACCACTGCCCAATCTTCTGCACACATGTTATCTTACTTTTGTCTCATAATACCATAGAAAGAAAATTAGCATCAATATATAAATGAGAATATCAAGCCTAAGCTTGAAGGGACAGATGTGAGATCAACCCTGAGCTTTCTGAAGCTGTTTTATGTTCCAAACACATCACTACATCAAGTGTGAGTCATTTCTGAAAACCAGCTTTGGACTGACAGTGGAGGTTTCTTTGAAGGCTCTTTTATTGCTTACAGCCATGTCTTTCAGATTCACAGTTCAAAGTTTCTAATCTGAAACATAACCCCACTCAAACACTGCATTCCAAATTTGCAAGCTGTTCTAAATTTCAACTTGCACAGTTTTGGAAGTTGAATTCGTTAACAGATTTTTTTGTTGTTGTTGTTAAATTTCATCTCTCTCAATATAGTCTTTGTTATTATGGCAATTACTTTAGCTGAAAGCCTTGATTAAAAAGAGTTTCCAATTTCAGGTCTATAAGCAAAATATAAAAACATTCATCAGATGCATCAATCTAGGTTTTGTTTTCATTTTTCTCTCCACTTCACCACTTTGGACAATATCCTTTTTGTCTCAGGTGAAGGGTTGAGCTCTTTTCTGTATGAGGAGAATAATTCTGCAAGGAGGGCTTCTCAGCAAGGTGGCCAAAATAGACTCTCTGCCAAAAAGCCAGCAGTACATTCTGTCCCCAGCATTATTCCTGAAGATCAGATATGGCTGTGCCCATAAAGCTTCAATGAACTTTTTGAAAAATATGTCCCATGTTCAAATAATCTTTTTGGAGAACTAACCTGGCAACAGGAAATGTCAACATCATTAATCATATATTAAGTTTCATTAAAATCAAAACTTTGAAATAATTAGCTTCTGCTGCTTCCCCAAATAGTAATTATAGACCATTAGGAAGTGTCATGCTCTCAGATTTCCGCCTTTAAAAATTAAATGCTAAAGATAAAACATTATTTTAAAAATAATCTTTGAGATTGTAGCTGTGGGAATATACACAGTACTTTCTGTGGACTGGGGCCAATCAAATCTCTCATAATTCAGGAAATTTGAATTCTGTTGGACTCAATGTTGAATGAAAATGTTAGTGTGTGCAATTTCACATGAAAGTAGAGTCCAAAGGCATAAAAATGCTTGTAGTTTAGTGTGTTTGGGGACTTCTCATTGCATTCATTTAAAATTAATCTTTTATTTTTATTCCCAATAATTGTTAAAAGTGATTTATCCAATGCTAGTTTGAAAGAAAATGATAATATCAGATATTTATACTTCATTTTGGTAGTTTCTCAGCAAGTTTTCTTTATCAACCTTATTTCCAAATGAGCCTTTAGTAATACAATCTAAACTTTAGCTTCTTCCCTCTCATCACCCCTAGATATTGCCCCCAAAATAAATTCTACTAGGGAAGAATAATAACTTGTTCTAACTAATACATATCATTTCAAAGAATAGTATTATTTTTGTAATAGCTTGCTTTACATGGCAATTATTACCCACTAAAAAAGGGTAGCTACTTAGTGATATATGAGATGTTGTTTAAGACACAAAGAAAGAAAAGGAGATGAGTTCTTTATTCTTCGAGATTGTTAATCCAGTTGGGGAAACAATGAAAGAACCAAAACACTGATAACACCAACATGGCTAAAACTGTCATTACGGAAACAGGATCACATTTTTGAAAAAGGGCAGAGGATGAAAAAGCCAAGCAGACTGAGGTTGCACAGCCCAAGCTTCTAGAAGACACTTTACAAGAGTAGATACACAGGAGAGGAGGAGAGCAGTGTGCAGTGTTTGTTCCTCTCCACTATCAACCTTTCCCACTCCACTGGCAACCCTTGAGACTCTGCTGAAACATTAAGCTCTTGCCTCAACAAGCTCAAAACATGTAAGCTCTGCTCTTTTCACATGGACAGTCTTATTTGCTTCCAAAGGAGTAAGTGTGTATGTAGAGGGGTTTGCTTTGAGAAGGGCAATGGGACATCTCCCCCTGAGACATAAGTTGGAGAAGCAAGTACAAATGAAGACACGTTAGGGATTCTAAGTTGGAAAGAAAGCCAAAGATGTATTAAGTGAATGTCATCTTCTCAACTGAAGTAACTCCTACACAGAAACTCAGGGGTAGCTTGGCTAAAGTGGTAGGAAAGAAGGAGGAATTGACAACTGGGGAGAGATACGAGAGAGCCATTAAGAGGTAGATCTGTTGGCTCACTTGCTAAATGCAGTAGATTAAACCTAAGTGTGGGCTGGCACCGTAGCTCACTTGGCTAATCCTCCACCTGCGGCGCCGGTACCCCAGGTTCTAGTCCCGGTTGGGGCGGAGCCGGGTACTAGTCCCAGTTGCTCCTCTTCCAGTACAGCTCTGTGGTGTAGCTGTTTAAGCTGCTGCCTGCAATGCCAGCATCCCATATGGGCACCAGTTTGAGTCCTGGCTGCTCCTCTTCCAGTCTAGCTCTCTGCTATGGCCTAGGAAGACCGTGGAAGATGGCCCAAGTCCTTGGGCCCCTGCACCTCCTGTGAGACCTGGTAGAAACTCCAGGCTCTTGGCTTCAGATGGGCCCAGTTTCAGCCATTGTAGACATTTGGGGAATGAACCAGGGGATGGAAGACCTCTCCCTCTCCCTCTCTCTCTCTCCCTCCCTCGCTCTCTCCTCTCTCTCCCTCCCTCCCCCCGCCATTTCTCTCTCCTTCTCTCTCTCCCCACTTTCTCTCCCCCCCTTCTCTCATCCACTCTCTCTACCTCTGTAACTCTGCCTTTCAAATAAATAATTAAAAAAAAAAAACAGAAGAGTATCTTATAAACAGAGAAGCTATGAAGAGTTACCAGAATTTAGTTACTGATTGAGATAGGAAGAATAACCAGACCCAACTTCCGGTTGTGAGAGTTAAAAGTACAAATCCAGCTAGCTTTCTCAAAGTGAAAAGTAATACGTTCAAGTCTTTTTCATTTAAAGCTACCAATACCTGGAAATACTGGTTGAAAAATCAAGATATTTTGTCTTAAGGAAGTTGTTATGGGTTGATCTCCATAGAATTATTTGCCAGGTGTTAGAGTTTGCATTTAAGGTATTCAGCATTTTTCATTACAAGATGAGGTGACAGAGACACAGTGTTTCCCCTCAATAAATGAATCATTTTCCCTCCTCCAAGGAATGTTTACATGTGAAGTGTGACAGTACTAGCAGATGATATAGTAATCTATCACTGTATTTCTTTCCAAAGTCTAAGTACAATTTTTCTCCCAGATTCAGATTAGGAAATAAATACATTTATAGAATATCTTTATAACAGGAAGGAATAAAATATAAAATGTGGATTTTTTTCTCATACGCTCTGTATTTAATACTTGTTGCCTAGTAACCAGACTATAATGTATCATGGGTTAAAAAAGTCAATTGTCTTTTTATGATATTTCCTGTGTGAGACCATTCAGTCTGAAGGTAAAATATCCAGGATAGAAATTCACATATACATTATCAGGTTGCTGTTCATTTTAAGCCAGAAAAGTAAGGCTCAGACACTAATGCTCTCCACAGGGAACACTTACAATTTAAATTCATTATGAGCTCCAATTCATAATTACTGTTGAAACTCGGTGGTCTCACTTCAGCTTGGCAGCAATTCATAAAGGAGACCTGTAGCTATCTTCCCCTCTGGGTACCTCTCCCTCTCCCTCTCTCTCTTTTTTCACACACACACACACACACACACACACACACACACACCACCCCTGGCCTAAGAAAAATAAACATAGCAGCTCAGGCAAGAGTTGAATGAAGAGAGGTATGGTATAACCATGCTGGGATGAGTCTGCCCATTGGAAATGATGCCAGGGAAACACTATTGGTGTCACTGAAGAGATTTCATTCATCATAGTTAAACTGTTGTCATTTCTAGATGAAGCCCAAACTGCACTGAACTGGGACAGATTGAGGAGGCCCATGTCTTCTCCAAGACATGCTTACAATTTTTTCTTTTTGAAAGGCAGAGTTAGTGTGAGAGACAGAGAGAAAGGTCTTCCTTCTGTTGGTTCACTCCCCTAATAGCCGCCACAGCCGGGGGGGGGGGGGGGGGCGGGGGCTGCGCTGATCTGAAGCCAGGAGCCGGATGCTTCCTCCTGGTCTCCCTTGCAGGTACAGGGACCCAAGCACTTGGGCCATCCTCCACTGCCCTCCCGGGCCACAGCAGAAAGCTGGACTGGAAGAGGAGCAACCGAGACTAGAACCCAGGGTGCCGGCGCCATAGGCAGAGGATTAGCCTAGTGAGCCACAGTGCCGGCCCTAAAAATTTAATCTCTTACTCAAATTTGGAAATTTTCTCGAGGTGAAATGGACTATCAAAAATCCTATTTGATATAACAACTAGAAATGTTCTTTGTTCATTGGAATATACATTTTTGCCAGGTTCATCAGGGAATAAACCAAACCCTCGTCTATAGAAGTTCTCAGAAATGACCCCTATGTATAGAATACGACCAAATAGTAAAGTGAATTAAACCATTGGTCAAATTCATTGCCTTGACTTAAAAGCAAGCATGTCAGGGTCGTGCTGTAGCTTGAGTCAAGGGGAAGGCAGATGATAAGGTATGTTTAGGGTATTCATCTCTTTCCTATCCAGGACCCTCCTTGACTCTTGCCCACCCCCTAAAAGAGAAGTTTTGTTTGTTACCTCTTACCGACATTTATTTTGACAATTTTTTTCTGAGAGTCCATCTTCATCCTCTCCCACAATGTCCACGGCTGAAAATATCAATGCAACTAGGATGGCGAAGCAGCAGACCAAGGCAAAGATCACGATGCACTTCTGCTGGGACTAGAGGAGAGAAAAAAGAGGAGGAAAAGTAAGTGGCACTGCTGTCACTTAGGAAACTCAAGATCTGACAACTTTTTAAAATTCCATGAAGAATCCTTAGGGATATAATTACTTTTATCCCTGTTAGAGGAAGACTGCTCTCTGGATAAAAATACTCAGACCTTCATGCTTACTCTCAATACAGCCATCAAAACCCTCTGAATTACACTAGAACCTGTTTAATAATTCAAGCGCAGCACCCAGACTTTTGAACAAGTTGCTTCCTCTCCTTTCTAATCAAAGGCAATCGAGAAAAGATCATTTGAAGACTTACTATTTCACACTGAAAATGAAACACAGATGCTGGCATCATAGATTAGGCAACCGACACAGTTCATTTTGAAACATTTTAAGGCACAACCAACATTCCTTCTCTTGATAGGATTTTCACCTAGAAACGCAACCCAAAGGTCTAGGTGACCTACGCCACTCATCTCCTTATCTTTGGGCTAATGGGTTATAATTTAAGACACCTCTGTCTCTAGGGGCTCATGGCTACAAGTGACTGAAGACGGAGCCATGATGACTGGGCAGAAGCCATGACCACAGGGAAAAATAATTTTACCTGCTTTTTTTCCCACTATGGTCTGAGCTCTCTTGCCCTTCCAATGTGTGAGGATGCAGCAAAAAGCTGCTTTCTGTGAACTAGGAAGTGGGCGCCTACCAGAACTGAATCTATCATTGCCTCAAACTGGATTTGCTGGCCTTTGGAACCCTGAGAAATAAATAGGTTGTTTATAAGCTGCTTAGTTTATGCTATTTTGTTGTAGTAAACTTAACAGACTAAGACACCCTCTTCTAGATAAACTAGGATGAGGACAGAACAAAAGCAATTTTTAAAAGTTCATGTCTCAGGGGCCAACGCTGTAGTGAGTAAACCTGCTGCCGGCAGCACTGGCATCCCATATGGGCACCAGTTCAAGTTCCGGCTACTCTGCTTCTCATCCAGCTCTCTGCTATGGCCTGAGAAAGCAACAGAAGATGGTTCAAGTCCTTGAGCCCCTGCACCCAAATGTGAGACCTGGAAGAAGCTCCTGGCTTCAAATTGGTGTAGCTCCAGCCATTGCAGCCAATTGGGGAGTGAAGCAGCGGATGGAAGATCTCTCTCTCTGCCTCTCCCTCCCCCTCTCTGCCTGTCTCTGCCTCTCTCTCTCTCTGCCTCTATGTAGCTCTTTCAAATAAATAAATATTTAAAATAAAAGTCCATGTGTCACTTTTATTTTATCCCATTTGTTATTTTATTTGAGAGGAAGAGCTCTCAACTGCTGTTTCACTCCCCAGATGCCCACAACAGTGATGCACAAAGCCAGGAGCTGAGATTTCAATGCAGGTCAGGTCTCACAGAAGGATGACAGGAACTCAACTAGTTGGGACATCACCAGTACCTCCCAGGGTCTGCACTAGCAGGAAGCTGGAGTCAGGAACTGAAGCCAGGTATGGAATCCAGGTACTCTGATACAGGATGCAGGTACCTTATCTGCTAGGCTAAATGCCTTTCTACTTTCTAAGTAATGCTATCAGGGATACAGAAAGATAAGCGTGCTCTTTGCCCAGGCAGCAAGTGTTATCCCTTAGTGATGGAATAAATATATGCACATACATGTGTGTGCATGTTTGTGCACTCCTACACATGCAAACACACATACTTGAGAGTGAGTTGATAAAACCAGCTGAGCTCACTCTTACCACCCTCCTGTTCTTTATCACTATGGTCACTTCATCTTCAAGGAATTCAAGGAACCTTCCCAACTCAGACTCCAGTTGACCAAGAGGCAGCCTCACATTAAAAATTACTGAGGAAGGTCCAGTCAGTTAGGAAGTAACAGCATTTCTGTAACCAGGCACAATCAGCCCAAGTCAGTGTTGCTTTCGTATCCTCTAATCCTCACTGAGGCCTTCGGTACTATTCCAACCTTGTTCCAACTCCACTTGCCTGTCAGCATGCTCTTCCCTTACTCTGCAGTCAAAGACAAAGAAGGTGAAAGCAAAGGAAGCCATAACCACTGTTCTTTCATCACCTTTAAGACATGGGTTATATTTTATTCTTTTTATCTCCAAGCAACCAGCACAGTGCCTGGTAAACAGAAGATGCTCAATAAATCACTGTTCTGCACATAAATAAAGAGTGAATGAATGAATGGAATGAAAATGAGAGCTGCATATTTCCAAGGATCCAGAGTCACATGAAATATTTCTAATTATTCGGATGTGACCTTCCTGAAAATGGGTTTGCTGTTATATTTTTGGTGATTGTAGATTTCGCAACTCATTCTTTACTGGACACAGAGGCAAATTCGGGAGCTACCTTCTGCAACCATCTGTAACTCAGCAGACACATCATACATTTGTCTTGCCTTCTGGTTTCCTATTGATCCTCTTTTTCTCACTAATTTTATGACTAATCAGCAGCATAGTGATCTGATTGAGGGCTCAGGCTTCAGAATCCGGATTCTGCCACTGCTGCTATGCTCTTGAGCAAGTTATTCAGTCTCGTGTTTCAGCTTCCTTATGTGTAAAATGGAGATAATAACAACTTGGTAAAGTACTTAGAAGAGTGCCTGAAAGACAGATAGAACTAAATCAAACTAAATAGTGTTTGCTATTGTTAGTACATTATTGTATTTTGAATAGTTCTGTAAGGTGCCTTGAATAGTTGGAGAAACAAGATGAACACATGAACAGCAACAAGAACAAAAAACAGTAAGTATGTGTTAAGACAGACAGAATAACACACAAAATAGGACAGTTAAAAGAGAGATGTTACACAGAAATTTTCTACTATAAATTTAAAAAAAAAACTGTTCTAAACCCAGTATCAGAATGGCATTTCTCCATTTCTCTCAAGTTTCAGCATGCATCAAAATCCCCTAAAGGGCTTGTTAAGATATACATTGCTGGGCATCCTACTTCTAGAGTGTCTAATTCACATGATCTCTCTATGGTGATGCACAAAGATATACATTTGTAATAAATTCCAAAAACTTTTCTATGCGGCTGATCTAGGGCCACAGTTGTAGAATATGGACCCTAAATTACTGCAGTCTCCCCTTATCCATGGGAGATATGTTTCAAAACCTCAGTAGATGCCTGAAACCATATACAGTACCAAACTTATATATACATTTTCTCCTATCCATGAATACCTCTGATAAAGTTTCATTTGTAAATCAAGCTCAGTTACAGTAACAACAATAACAATCACAAAAGAGGGCAATTATAAAAATTCACAATAGAAGTCTTGTGAATGTTGTCTCTCTGAAAATACCTTATTCACTCTTGTGCTGGTGTGAGAAGACACCAAGGTGAATGACAAGGTTACGGTGATGTAGTGTTGGGATCCTGTGTAGGGTTAATTGAACACAAACACTATGACACCGTGATAGTCAATCTAATGGCCAAGACATCTACTGAGTGACTAACAGGTGGGCAGCATATACAGAGTGGATGTGCCAGACAAAGGGATGATTCACATCCCCAGGCAGGACAGGGTGAGACGATGTGAGATTTCATCACACTGCTCAGAATGGCACACAATTTAAAACTTGTAAATTGTTTATTTCTGAAATTTTCCACTTAATAGTTTTGAACTTCAGTTGATAGCAAGTAATTCAAACAGTGCAAAGCTATACAGTAGATAAGGAGGCACTGCCGTATCATCCCTAGTAAATCCTGCTTGACATTCTTCATCCTTGGGACTCAGGTGGCATGCACATTTTCAAACATTAAAGAGATCACTATAAAAACACCCTAACAAAAATATAAATAAAAATGTAAATATAAATATATAAATCTTTTAAGCTTCTTTGGAGGGGGTTCAAAATGTTTTTTAAGTTTTTATTTATGTATTTGAAAGGTAGAATGACAGAGAAAGAAGGAGAGACAGAGAGAGAGAGATCCTGCATCTGCTGGTTCACTCCCCAAATGCCTGGAATAGCCAGGGCTGGGCCAGGTCAAATCCAGGAGTCAGGAACTCCATGCTCCTCTAAGTGGGTGGCAGAAGCCCAACTGCTGGAGCCATCACCCACTGCTTCCCACGGTATGCACGAGGAGGAAGTTAGATTTGAAGTGGAGGCTAGACTTGATCCCAGGCACTCCCATACAGGATAAGGGTGTCCTAAACAGCAGCTGCTGTGCCACAACATCTACCTCCTAAAAATAATTTAACAGTGATTTATTAAAATATTTTTTACATTTTCTACTTTGAATGTATTTTTTCCTGGCAATTCTGATTACTTGCATAATCAGGAAATGTTTGCTGTTAAATGTTTTTAAAGATTTATTAATTATTTGAAAGTCGAGAGAGAGAGAGAACATACTTCTATACTTTGGCTCATTCTCCAAATGGCTTCAACAGCCAGGGCTGAGCCAGGTCAACAATAGGAGCCAGGAGCCTCCTCCGGGCCTCCTATATTAGTGCAGGGGCCCAAACACTTGGGCCATCCTCTATTGCTTTCCCAGGCACATGAGCAGGAAGCTGAATCAGAAGAGGAGCAGCTGGGACTTGAACTGGTATCCATACAGGATGCTGGCCCTGCAGCTGGCAGCTTAACCCTCTGCACCACAGTGCCAGACCAATGTTAAATATTTTTTAAAAATATACATAATATAGGGGCTGGTGCTGTGTTGTAGCAGGTAAAGCCACTGCCTGCAGTGCCTGCGTCCCATACAGGCACTGGTTCAAGTCCCAGCTGCTCCACTTCCGATCTAGCTCTCTATTACAGCCTGGGAAAGCTGCAGAATATGGCCCAAGTCCTGGGCCCCTGCAGCCATGTGGGAAGACCTGGAAGAAGTTACTGGCTCCTGGCTTCAGATTGGTGCAGCTCTGCCCATTGTGGCCAATTGGGGATGAACAGCAGATGGAAGACTCTCTCTCTCTCTGCCTCTCCTTCTCTGTGTAACTCTGACTTTCAAATAAATGAATCTTTTAAAAAACCATATTATATATAAAAGATCACTCATAA